TTCAACTGGCAACATTTTCGCTTCGAGCGAAGATACTGCCACTTTTGCACTCGTTCCGAGTACGATTCCACTCCAAGATGTTTAGAAAGGCCCCTCTGTTAGTCTATCACAACGCCGTTTGCAGGATTTTCGATTTCCTTCATTACACGCAAGAAACTCGAGACAAAAGCCCCTTGAATCGCGATACGCTCGATTGCTCGGTCACGCGTGTATTTTGCGGATTAAATCTGCACTCGAAGGTCGTAAAACTTGTCGTGTCTGTGTGATAGAGGCACCTACGATCACGTGGTTCAATTGCGCACCATCTGGATGGTAGGAGCGCAACGGTCTCTCGGTGCCGGCATAAAAAATAGCGATAAATCATGCCAAGAGCATACTGAGCGCTGCGCCGCTGTCCGTCCGCTTTCCGTTTCGCTCTATCCGTCACGATCACCGCACTTGTGAACGAACGCGATCCGACACTCGTGAAGATTCAAGTTTCGAATGGGGCTCTCGAGTGTGCGCTGATACCCGCAGACTGTGTTGTTACAAAACGAGCTGCTGCACGCGACGAGAGGCCGCGGATTAGAAATTCCTGGATCACCGCGGTTGCATCGGCCGTTCGCTCGCTCGCTCGCTCGATCAATCGATCGACCCGTGACCCCGATTTTTCGCAACTCTCCTCGTCGCTGTGCGCCCGCGCGCGATCCTTATCCGCGTAATGACGCATCAGGGAAATCACGGTGACCACGTGCTCCATGAACGATCCGCTTCTTTGCAACGAAATCCAGACACACGCACGCGTTTGAATCGGAGAATCCCACCAATCGATAAGTGAAATGTCTGTTGATTATTTATCGTGCGACAAATGATTGGACAAGTACGTATTTTGCAATTATCCTTAATTACTTATCGCGAACGCCTCGACGATATCGGTATGGCGGTATGTAGACCTGGCGGCATCAGCGACGGCGACGAAATGAGTCACATGCCGCACTGACCGAGCTTCGACTCGGGCGATTCTATCTGTGCAAGAATCGAGTTTCGACTTGGACGGTTCTACTCGTGCAAGGATATCACACGGCGGTATAAACGGACACCACGTACCGACAGGAAGTCGCGAAGCGCGGGTTTTCGACGGCGGCAGGTTGCTAGAAACTGAGGAGCTTGTCGCTCCACGCGGCGGCAACGTGCCTTCCTCTTTTCTGCGCTCGCATCGTGTTGAGACAACTGCATAGGTGTGCACAGGTATACACACGTATCACCCACCCGCGTTCGCGAGCGGATAACGCGCGCAACAACGGTCTGATAATGCTGATCACGGCTCGTTCGGACGCGCCGCCACGGTCATTTATCTTTCCTTTTCTCTCGTCTCTCGTTCTCCGATTGCACTAAACCAAAGGATGCGGCGTTCTCTGACACGCCGGTTATTGACACATTGCGTACGGCTCGCGAGATATCTTGTGTTTAGTAAACCGTGCGTTGAGGACGCGTCATGAGATATCTCTCGTTTGTACGCTTCTTCACACACAAAAAAATACATGCTGCATTCAAGTGAATGTTGCTTGTCTCAAGTGTCTCATGAGTTTATATATCCGTAAATCTATCATAAGTCCATCGTGTATATATACTGGGAAAAAAATTCTTGAACATCTGTTTGTGAGATATAAAGTTTACATTCACAGAAATAAACTTTATATCTTAGAAATAAATTTTCAAGTTGTTTACTTCAAGTATATTCTGAATTCTAGCAAGTTTAGTTTTCCAATCAAGAATGTTAAGTTGTAGCAAAAATTCGATTTGCTCACTGCATAAAGACGAACCACAACTTTTTCCTCGACAAACTCGTACAATATTCTTATAAAAAGAATAAATTCTTCCTTTGAGTACATAATAATGAATTTTTCCAAGATTTGCAATGAGTATATCTTGGAAGATTATTATCAAGAAAATATTTCTTATTGAAGATGATCATTACTTAGAAGAAAGAAATTAAAATCAATATATATAATTGGCTTTCTTGGTAATGAAATGATATTTTTCTGTGTGTATAATCGAGTATTGACGGTGTATCAGATTTCAAATAATTTAGCCCGGTTGTCTATCGCCATGGTAACGTCATGGTAACTTTATGACGATTTATCACGAGAGAATGCCGCAACGAATGCACGTCGAAGTGCGGAAAACGAGCAACATTTCCGCATCGAGGGGAATTTGGCACGGCAGATACGCGAGTTCTGGAAACAAGGTAGAAACGGAATACCGCGGTCAATCAAGCCGAGATTTCGTATTATTGTAAAAATATTCTCTTATCAACAGTATCGATAGCGCGCGCGGCGAATAATTAAGTGGTGAGATTGATTTGCAGTAATCAGGAGTTGCAGCAACGGTACGAATGAACACGTAGCGAGATAATTTCATGAAGCACGAGGGAGGTAGGCGGTGGTAAATATTGGCGGTGCGGGCGCACTCAGCATTTGAAATTGTGAGAATATTACCATAGGAAGGGAAAACGATGAAGCGCCCCTCGCGAGTTTGCGCGCTATTGTATGGAAATGTAGGAAATCGATGCCGTCGGCGATTGCATTATTATTAGAGGGCTCAACGTTAAATTCAACATGAGCCAGCATAAAGAGGCGCAAAAACGCTCCGCTTATTACATATTCGTTATGTAACGAACTTCATCACGCGGAATAATCAGATTTTCGGACGTCACGTCGCGCAATTACGTGTTTAACTGGTAAGGACTGGTAAGGCTGTCGCAAATCGAACGGAAGTCGACTTTTAACTCGACGCTAATGATAAAACATCGTCGCGACGATGAGATAGCAAGAGCGTGAGGAATTGAAAGTGCAGGACATTATTACAGATTATCGCGCGAATGACTCCCTCACGAGTATCTCAATGAGCAAAAGTTTCAGACTCGCTAAGCGCGAAAAATGACGCGTATGTCTCTAGTCCCATTATATGCGCAACGGATAATTTTGCATACGACCGGTTTGATACCGGTTTCTTTCGCGTTTACATTCGCGCCGTGGACAAAGGTGCTCATAAGAATAATACGTGGCTGGATCGTGCGATACGAAATGACTCAGCGTTTATAGATTAGTGTCAATTGCGCCTGTGCGATAAGGAATTCTCGCGCGGAGCGTGAAGCAAAATCAGCCGTAAAAGAACGGAATCCGGACTCGCGATATACACCTCGGAGAGAACGAATCATAATAACAAATGTGTCGCCGAGTAAAATAGAGGGAACGGATATTGTAATATCGTGTGCGTATTTCCGTAAAATAAGAAAATACAAAAATAGACGGTAACACTGACGTCACGAGTGCATACTTATCGTGATATTCTTCAGGAGAGCGAACACTAGCCGTATTCCGCTTGTGCGCGATACTTACGAAATACTTGAGGAAACGCCTGCACGTAAAATAGTTACTGCGAACTCATCGTACACACAAACGCCGGGCAGGAACCACACACGAAGGCTAGTCAAGTAACACTATCCCGACGGACGTCGTAAATAAGAACATTCTGAGCGAAGGCGCTCTTGCTTTTCTTTCACGTCCCTTTTTTGTTTCGTTGTTATATAATACCGTATGATTTTGTTTCCGTCCTTCACAATATCCTGAACGCTAATATAAACGCTCTCTTATATTTCCCGCTGTACCTGGCTTCCGAGGTTTGGATCAAATATTCTTGTGAACTAATTCTCTGTCCAGAAAACTCTCGTCGAGATAAAATCTTCCGCGTGAGATATCAGAACCGATAATATAAAGCTTTTGATATCGTTTAATTTCCGAAGACTCGTAGCAAAGTATAATCGTTGCTCTATCGTTTTATACACTCAGTTTTATATGCGCGCAATATCCATATTCGTGCAGCATCGGCGGAATAATCAAATCGAAAAAAATCCGCTGCGTTTATTTCGAGAAATACAATTTCTTTGTTGTACAAAACAATTTTCTTAACCGAATACGTGAACCCGCACATATTGAGAAAATTATTGTAATTTTGTCTTTTTTTAATAGAAATAAAATATAAATAAATGGATAAATAAAAGTTACAGTATATAATAGTAAAAGTTATAGAAAAAAGAGAGTATAGAAAAACAATACTCGATGAGATAATATTGATATTCAAAGCCCGTATTCTTAAAATTTTTGTATATACGTAAGTTTTATTGCACAGCTATTTTATGCTGGGCCCATATTCTTGAAATTTTTGTATGTACTTAAGTCCCTTTTCGCAGATACAAGAGCCCGGACACACAGAAAAACTTAAGCCGCTTCGATGATTTCTGAACCGTAAGAAGAATCATCGGCTGTGATTGCTCAATTTGCTTACTGCTTACGTCTTACTGCTTAAGCTTTATTGTGTGTCTTATACTTGCGGAAAGGGACTTAAGTACATACAAAAATATCAAGAATATAGGTTCAGCAGTATTGTCAGAGCAATGATCTGTGATGAAAGAAAAAGGAGAAAATTTATATTGCTTAACGCGATCTACATTTTGCAAAGCAAAGATGCGACGATTAAAATCGTCGTTATTTAGTGTATCATTGACAAAAAATGGAAAAAATTTCTTCTGGAAAAATCTCAAGAATATAAGCTATATGGACCTATATTCGACACAAGACTAATAATAAGAGACCATACGGACCTCTTATTGTCAGTCTTGTGTCGTTCCAACTTGATTATTCATCCTTCCTTCTGTCGACTCCCTTTATTTCTGCTATAAATGAATATAATGTTTTCGTATAAATAAATATAACGTTTACGTAAACGTTATATTCATTTATGAGATATAAAAGAGATACAAAGAGAGTCGACAGAAGGAAGGACGAATCATCGAACTGAAACGACACAAGACTGACAATACTGCTATATGGACACAAGATGCCCATATGACTTATATTCTTGAAATTTTTCCAGAAGAAATTTTTCTATTTTTTGTCTGAATACAATGATACACTAAATAACGATCTAAATAATCTGTGCTTTGCAAAATGTAGATCGCGTTAAGCAATATAAATTTTCTCCTTTTTCTTTCATCACAGATCACAGATCACTGCTCTTTTCGGGTCAGAATATCGCATTTTCTTTCCCCGTCTCCTCAATTCAGACATCAACGATTATTTCAAAATTATTAGATCCGAGTTACCGAAAGTGTGCCGAGGCTGAGTTGTGTGAGAGTATTGTAATATTGACAAACAAAGAAACCGGCCCGGGGTTCTCGTTCCTGTTGCTTAGGAGCGCGTAGCGCGGCGCGCATGCGCGGGTCTTCTACGTAACGGAGTCGGCGAGAAGCGGCGCTTGTACCGGCGGACAGTCCGTTCTAGTACAGCGGTTCGTTCGTGTCTCGTGTGACGAGCTGTCGGGCTTCCAGTTTCTAACGTGCCTACTATTCAGTCGATTCGTGTCTTTGTACGAGGAGGAGGAATTCGGTGAGTACTCGAACACACGATGCCAACACGGAGACGCAGCGTGCGTACATAAATGTGCGGGAAACTGTGCATTGATCGCGTTCAGTCGTCCGTCGCCGGCGCGGCCATCTTAGTTGAGACACAACGTCCTGCGTGTGCCGGACACGTGATTCGTAGAACCATCATCGTCATAGCGAAGTCATTCTAGGATATTTGTCAGATTTACGAGGATTTTGCATACACTGAGACGCGACACGTCTCACGATCGCGAATCGCCGTGTGGAGTTTTGAGGCTATTGTTAATATCGGTCGGTATTGTTCATCGAAATGCGCGGCATATTATCGTTCGCCGGCTACGCGCCATCGATTTTGCACAGCCAATGTTGAAAGAAAAAAAAACTTCGTTTTGATATTGGGTGCTGATCGTCGTGTGCGTTGCAACAACTTTTCTACATTCGATAATGACGGTACTTTTCTATTAGTCGAGCAAGCGAGCGAGCGAGTGAGCGGGTGGGCGGGCCCTTTGATGTGTCGAAGTGAACGCGGGACAATACATAACTTCGGGAGAATGCGAGATCGTGACTTCGATATTCGTGTATCTCCTTTCGAGCATGTCGGAAGTTTAGTTTGGAGACAAAAGCAAGCACGGGCGCTCTTTGTTACGGGATTAATTTTTCGAGATTGGTTGACCAATGTCTCCCGCCAGCTTTTATTCACAAAAAACGTCTGACATTCAGAGAGAGAAAGAGAGAGAGAAAGCACTTGCGCCGCTTCTAATTTATAGAATTTGATGGAAAAAATGTTATAGATGTAATTTTATAAAGGTTGATATTTAAATTAATTTGTGTTGTCAAAAAAGAGAGCAGTCGTGGATAATCAAATTTCATTCTGCTGTTATAACTTCGATAGATGTATTACAATTTACCCGTATTTTTTATCTATATTTATTGAATTTATTTATAAAATTGAATTGGTCTTTGTACATTTTTTTGTACATTTCTTGTGTTATTTTAATGTATTGCTTTTTAGGAGATTTTTTTATGCTGAATATTTTTTTTATTTAATTTTTTCAAAGAAAATATAATGAAATATATTTATTAATTATAAGAATTATTAAATATTTATTTAATTATATGCATAAACTATGTATATTTTTCTCTATATTACATATAATCATATTTAATAATATAATCGTTATAATTACCATATTATTAAATATAATTATACATATAAATGCATTTATATTTATACTTTGTATAATTACTATATATATTTTAGATCAAAATGAGTGAGGAACAGTGGGATAACGACATTTCGCAACCACCAATGGACTCGTCCTTGGTAAGAAAAGAATTAAAATATTGTAAATAAAAACAAATATATACACACTAGAAATAAATATAATAAATTAATAAAATAAATTTGATTTTAATTTTAATATTTTTATAAATAGTACGAGCAAGGACGTGCGCCAGTCAAAGGCAAAGGACGTGGAACGATTATATACAACAATAACAACGATGACTACCGTGTGGGCGGTGGTGACTCTCATGATGGTGAAAAAACAGATTATCAGGAAAGCCGTAGAGATAGAACCAATAATAGAGATTACGGCAATAACAGATCCAATGGCGGCAATAGATTCGGAGGGAACGACAAACCGCGTTACGGAAATAATCGAGAAGATGACGATGGTAATGGCCGCAGATGGCAAGGACAAGGCAATAGAAATAACGGCGATTGGGATAAGCGAAACAGAAATAAAAACGACGGCGAAACCGAGGATGGCGGCAACTATAGAAACGATAGGAGAGATGAATCAAGAAGAGATAGAAACATAAGGGGTGAAGGTGGTGGAAGTTATGGTGGTGGTAGAGATAGAAGAGGTGGCGATCGTGGTAATTACGGTGATAGAACTGATGATAGAAATGATAATCGTAACGATAGGGGACGTAGGAGGGACGGCGATGGAGATGGTGATAAGGATGATGACAGCCCGCCGAAGAACAGAGAGATTTATATCCCACCAGATGAACCAGATGATGAGAACCATTTATTTGGAAACGACGTGTCGATGGGAATAAATTTCGACAAATATGACGACATCGAGATAAAAGTCTCGGGTGAGAATGCACCGCTTCCAATAAATTCTTTTGACACAAGCGGTATCAGAAGTCTTATTGTAGAAAATATTAAAAAATCCGGTTACAAGAGGCCTACTCCTGTTCAGAAACACGCAATCCCGATTGTAATGAGCGGTCGCGATTTGATGGCTTGCGCGCAAACGGGCTCAGGAAAAACTGCAGCCTTCGTAGTTCCTATCTTACATACATTATTGGAATATCCAAAGGATTTGGTTAAAACTGGCACATCTTGCGAACCACATGTGGTTATTATATCGCCTACGCGCGAGCTAACTTCACAGATACATCAGCAGGTCCGGAAGTTTGCCCTGGGCTCTATTCTGAAAAGTGAGCTGATTTACGGAGGGACATCGGTGATGCATCAAGGAAACAGAGTTTCAAATGGTTGCCACATTCTTGTTGCAACTCCAGGTAGATTATTGGACTTCCTTGGAAGAGGCAGAATTAGGTTATCTTCTTTACGTTTCTTGGTGCTCGACGAAGCTGATCGAATGCTAGATATGGGCTTCATAGGGGACATAGAGAAAATCGTAGACCACGAGACAATGGTGCCTTCAGAAGAAAGACAAACACTGATGTTTTCCGCCACATTCCCAAGTGACATACAAGAACTCGCAGGGCGATTTCTGAGGAATTATTTATTCCTCGCGGTTGGAATCATCGGTAGTGCTTGTTCCGACGTGGAACAGAATTTCTATCAGGCCTCCGGACAACCCGAGAAGCGGAAGCTGCTGAAGGACCTGATACAGAAACAGAGCGAAACTAGCAACATAGAAGGCATTTTAGTATTCGTCGAGCAAAAGCGGCACACGGACTTTATTGCTGCTTTCTTATCAGAAAATAATTTTCCAACGACCAGCATACACGGCGATAGACTGCAAAGGGAACGAGAAGAGGCCTTGTCTGATTTCAAACGGGGCAAGATGTCTATCTTGGTAGCAACAGCAGTAGCTGCGCGTGGTTTAGATATCAAGAATGTTGCTCATGTAATTAACTTCGATTTACCCAAGTCGATCGATGAGTACGTTCATAGGATCGGACGAACTGGTCGAGTGGGCAATCGCGGTAAAGCGACTTCCTTTTTTGACTCTGCAACCGACATACCTCTCACTGGCGATTTGGTTCGGATTTTAAAACAAGCTGGCCAACCGGTGCCCGACTGGTTAGAGTCCGGCGGTGGCGGCGGTAGCAGAACTTTTGCGCCCGGCCGAGGATCAAGACGATTCGGCGGAGTAGACATCAGAAACGTGAGTGACGTTATATACAGTTTGAATTTCTGGTTAAATATCGATAATACACTATTCATATTTCAATTATATTATGTTTCAATTATATACGAATTTTTTATATATAAATATGAAAAAAACACTCATCATTTCTTGCAGAATAAAGATGGATACGGAGAATCGTATGATGAAGTTATTGGTGACGAAACTCCCGTACAAGCGGAACCAGAAGAGAACTGGTAAATACGATACGAGAGAACTGGTACGACATACTTTTATATGACATTGCGAAGATGCAATTGTTAAAGACAACAAAATTAATGTACGTTATTCGATACGGTAAAGATTACTAAATTTCATTTATTTTTTTCTTTTCTTTAAATGTACAAATGTACATTAAATGTAACATGTACAAGTTGTCGCATAATTCACCTTAACGCATTTCGCAAAAATGAGAAAGTCATATATATATATTTTTTGTTTATAATGCCAATTAGAGGCCTACATACAAAGACAACGTATAATTGTAATTATACGTACATGCAAAAGTACATGCAAACTAAATGTAACTACATGTACTTTCCAATAATTAAATTTTAGCTATTAAGTTATATTGATGTTCCTCGTTACGTTATAAGCGAAAATAGTGTGTTAAGTTCCAATCAAATTTTTTAGTTTAAAGTTGTTTTTATAACATTCGTTTTTTTATGGCGGATTCGTAGTGAATCCTTTACCTCACAAAACATAAGTTTACGTTATAAAAACACTGAAGAAATGTTTTACTTTATGAAACCGTTGCTTATGTTCTTCGCTGATAAGCATTTTTGTATGTTTATTTTTGTAATAAACTTATTTTTTAATATTAAATAGTTTTAATAATTTTTTGTTTTATATACATAAATCTCTCTCTCTCTCTCTCTCTCTCTCTCTCTCTCTCTTTTTCTCTCTCTCTCTTAATGGATCGTGATAATACAAGGTTAAGAATTTATACTTACTATCGTTCATGGCCATGTCCATCAGATGTAAATCCTCGTCATTAAGTAGAGACGAAAGAAATCCGTCCGTGGTTTGATTGATGGAATCTGTTGCCGGCGCATGATAATACATCATATCGCTAGGCTCAGACTTGTAAGTTGCACCACTCTCTGCACCCATTGGTTCGCTGCTGTTCGTCAGATTCATCGATGTTGCCACGGCTGAACCCAAATTCGACGACCCACCTGTAACAGTGAGCAGTTTAGTTCAGACAATGAAATTTCTTAGATGATACTTCAAATTATTGCATAATTTTCGTATTATTTTTGTGTCCTTCAAAGACTTATGTGTAACATCAGTATTCTTGTGCATTATGCTGAATTAAAAACATCTTGTTTGTATATATATCGGTAACCTGTCAGAATTTCTCAAAATAATACTAATCCCGCCCAAAAAATATTTCTTTTATTTCTGTTAGCGAAAAGTTTCGTGGGTAGTAAAAGCGGCACAAATCTTCGAAGGGTGCTCTCATTTTTCCAGGTAGGAGTCTAGGATCGATTCTCTACACGTCCTCATAGCTTTATTAAAAAAACTATATTTCAACCGACATTCTTCGTTAGCTTTACTTATTTCAATATTAATCGCACCGCATAATTCGCCGTTGCATTCAACAGCAGAAAAATTTAATGTAAAAGTTTAACGTAAATGTAAAACTAATGTGATGTAATGTAAAAGTTTAAAGAAAGTGGAATAAAACCTCCGTATAATTTTAGACGACACTCACCGACATTGTGATAAGGTCCTGTCGAATTGAGATCCCCGACCGGTGGTGCTAAGGTAGGATTGTGAAGCAGTACGTTACGTTGCGCCTCGTAATGACTGTGACTTATACCGTGTCCTGGATATCCCGGATGCGCCGGATGTGCGAAGTGATCTGGTGCTCCCGGAAGGGATAACAGAGACGCGAGATCCTGCCACCGCTGTTCCACGCTCATCGCTCGCATGAACGGCATACGACCCTGAAACGAGTGAATTTGATCCTTCTAAAAAACGTACTTTTTACAGAGATGCTCTTACAGTAGTTGCGGACAACTACTGTAAGTAGTTCTAGACAATTATAAGCAGTAAGTATATTTTATCTAGATGTTAAAAAAATTAATCTTGATATACCTTGCATTGTGTAATTGCAATTGTTTTACGTTTATTGCTGTCATGAAGACTTGAAGGGAATTATTAAAATATCTATCAATCGCAATTTCGTCAAGTTACGTTGATAAATTTCGCCTGCGCTCAAACGCGATTGGTGAGAGTCCACGTATGGTAGTCGACCTTCGTTGCAATTATCTTATTTTGTACATTCTATTATCATAGAATCGAACATCCATCGATCGAGTGTCACGCGAGAGGAATCTCGTAGCCGTCGTGCCTGTCAAATGTCAACCGAGTAGACACCTGGATTCCAAGGAGGCAGGAACCCCCGCTGGTCGCGTAGGTGTTGCCTCCACCGTAAGATCGGTAAAGGATATTAATAACAACGATACTACGTGTCAAAAGTATCCTTCTCCCCTTGCAAGGGCGTGCGTCAATCGTGATCGCGTGTCAATCAATGCGGGAATTATGACGGGCGAAATTTATGATTTACAAACACGGCACTTTTATAAGTAGCCGCCAAATAAGTATACGCGTTTGTACCGTGGGATTTGTCGGTATGATATGTGCGCCTGCTTGTTGCTTAAGGCGATGCAGTTACATTCTATCATTTTTCGCACGGGGGGCGAATAATACCGTTAAATTAATAGAAAATGAAGTGGTTTCACACGATATTACATGCGCGTTTCTGCGTTTCAAATCGAGTACACGTAACGCATATTTTCAGCAGTAACGCGCAAAACTATGTAGTACAGATAAGAGAGTATCATTCTCATATAATCTATCAAATTTACAAATATGATATCCTGCGATTCTTATTAGAAGTTGTCTATTACGGACGGGATAACGAGCGTCTGGTTTGTATATTTTTGTGCTTTTATTGCAGTGTACGACACTATACAAGAGATACGGAATTACATTTTGAGTGTGAGTTTTGGATCTGTGAACAAAATTGGCAATCCTCTGAGATGCATATTCAAGAGTAAACGGTGTAGCAGCCGAGTACGTGCTAGAAGAATCTCGTTCGCTAATTACGTGTGAAAGAAAGAGAGAAAGAGAGAGAGAGAGAGAGAGAAAGAAAGAAGTCGCGTTCTCAACGTACTTTCACGAAATTTCTTCGTTCCGCTCGACTCGTGGAACAGTAGAGAGGAGAGGGGAGTTGCATTTCTCGCGGCGTAAGTGCGGTAGTAGTGCCGCCACTGCTGTTGCTGTCGTTGCTGCCGGGGGTACCCGCCACCGGCGCTTAATGCACGTAGGTATTGTCGCTAATGCGCCCGGACGCAAGAAGAAGATGAATAGGGAAGCTGCCGTGGCGCGCGGGCCCTGTTGGATTGTTGTTCGCGGGCGCATCAATCAGTCGCCGGTGCAATCTGTCGAGCGCGACGCCTTTAAGGCGATTCTCGCTTGTCAGCGCATCTGCCGGCTGTGTAGGCCGCCGTGGCCGCGGCGAAATGTAGGACGGCGACTTTTGTTCCACGGCGATTTGTCGTGCAGCGCGACGCGCGCGTTTCTAATGGCCGGACTTTACGGCTCATCCTGGTTCGACGTAACGGCCGTGATTGAGTTATAGGGGAAAAAAGGCGCGAGCCGCGCGCGCATTTAAACGCTCGCGTCCTCGCGTTGCTCTTCCTCCCTTTTCTCGCGGCGCGCACGAGACGGCGAGATTATCGTCTTGTCGACGCGTCGATGTGCGACCGGCTTTCCGCCGCGGCCGTATGAGGCTGCCAGTTTTCAATCGTCGCGAGGAATACTCGCGATTCGTTACACCTCCACGGCGAATTAATCCGTGACGGAGACGCAGTTAACGTGACGGTCATCATCGTCGTCGTCGTCGTCGTCGTCGTCGTCGTCGTCGTCGTCGTCGTCGTCGTCGTCGTCGTCATCGTCGCACAGGAGAGATAGATAGAGAGACAGACTGGAAATCTCGCGCATGGTGGGTCAATTTAGGAGACGCACAGAGATGCACGCCGCATTTAATTGGCAGTTTATTTAATCCTTCCATTGCCGCGCAATAACGCCGCCGTTTGCTCAACGAACGGGAAATTATTAGAATGCGCTGCCTCGTTTGCGCGAAACGTAAGATCGATATGCGTCGCGCTGCGACTGTTATTTTCGTGCGCGATTTGATGCGCGCGACGTGTGATTTATCGGACAGCCGTTAGGGCTGCCCGACATAGTGTTCGCCTCTGACGAACTCGCGTTTCAAATGGTATCTATGCGAGCGCGGTAAACGAACGTTATGTACATTCCTCTGCCGCGCGCGCTACCGGCGCGCTTATGATTTATGCAGCAACGCGCGCCCGCGCATCCTCCTCGTGGTGTCGGTGCACCACGTTGGCCGCGTGTGAATGCACGTGAACGTGCGAATACGTGTGCGCGATCTCTCTCCTCCACCACGTGCACGGGAGGGAGAGTCGTGCACGCGGGACGTGCGAGAGGGCCGCGAGGAAAGATATCTGCGCGCCGGCAGATGTTTGAGACGCGCTGTCGAGGACTCGCTAGATTTCTTCCGAGATCTCTCTCCCTCTCTTTATCCCCCCCCCATCCCTCCTCCGTTTTCCCCCTAGCAGCCGTGTACTCTTTTTCTTCTACTAATACACATTAACAGCGCGCGATCTTGGCGGCCTTATCAAATCCGTAACGAGGATTCTGCGGCTCGAGGTTGCTGCAGCAATAGATCTCTGCGCGCAAATCGATTTTCCGAGGGAAGTCTGCCTCGTTATCGAACACGCTTAGGCTCGTGTCGTCGGCGTTTCATGCCCGTATTATCATTCTCATCGAGCTACTCCGATTGGACACGCGTGTTTCCAATGGAAACAGTCTTGAAATTAGTTCTATTCGTGCTGAATCGTTCTAATAATAGTTACCTCTCTCCGACCGATGGCCGAGAACTGCCGATAAACGAGTATCGTCGATGTTTGAAGTAACATGTCTCTCTCTCTCTCTCTCTCTTTCGCTGAGTGCATGAATGCGTTAGATCAACTTTACGGGAATACAGTATTACGCATACGTGTCTGCCTGTTTTTATTTCCCTTTAAACTGCCATAAAACGCGATCAGTCTCTCTTTCTGTGCCGTCTGGATGGCTGTTCGCGGTTCTGTTTTTATTCCGGCCTTAACGTCGCGAGGCACGCACACGGGCCGCGGCAGCGAAGCCATTCCGATCGCGATTTGACAGTGATCAACTGACCGCTTGACACCTGCCATCGTCGTCGCTTAACCTACATGGTCTCTCTCCACGGTCCTCGATCGGTTACCTCGAGTTACCTACTTTTCACCTCGCCGCGCCGCGTGTGTTTTCGTACGTGACTGCTGGCAAAGCTCGTTTCTGTCACGAAAGTTGTGAATGAAAATATTGATGGATACGGATTCAGCCCTCCACCCTTTCTGCGTCGCGGTGCGCGGAAAAAATATTTTGTCTGCCTACCCCGACTCGTTCGTGTCAGGAATTTCCCTCCCGCGTCCGCGCGATCGTAAATGCGCGCGTATGCATACACGACATGAGAGACGCGACAGGACGGCTCTCTTCGTCGCACGACCGAGTGTCTCCGTGTCTCCGAGGGATGCGCGCCTGCCGGCCGGGATCCCTAATTAGCGGGGCGAATTAACGAAAGTCGCGTCGCGGAGAAACGCGTCTTTTGTCTTGGCGTGCGCGCGCGTGGCCTCAATGACTGCACGAAGACAGAAATTCGTTTCACACATCCTAGATAGTCCCCGGCGCGGAGGCGCATTATGCATTTCACAGCGCATAAGTCCAGCAGCTGCGTGGAATTCCCGGCGAACGGAACGGGCTGTGTGTGACGTCCCGTGGCGTTTCTCGGTTCTTGGTGAAAATTGCCCGGTCGGGGTGCGCGCACGTAGGAATTTACGAGCGACAGAGGCGCGCTAAAAACTCCACTTTCTCGTAAGACTTCGGATATTACGCGAGATTGACGCGCATCAAGGATTTTACGAAGTCGCGCGCAGCGCAACGAGATTTTGAATTAACACAGACGCAGACGGTGTGTGTGTGTGTGTGTGTGTGTATCGTTCGCTCAAACAGATATCGACTCAGGAAGACATTCGCGATTAGCTTACGAAACCGTGTCGCGAATTTGATAGCCATTTGATAACCATCATGATAAAAGTTCACTTGAGATATTTTGGGTTTCACTCTGTCGAGAGTCGAAGAGAAGTCCCGATGAGAACGACACTGAGAATCAATCTGATCTCGAGGAGAAGAAAGGAAAAGATATTTCGCACGTGCGCGAACAGGTGAGTAATATCCAGCGGCGTTGGTATCGCGGATTCAATAAGTGCCGGATGTGTTACGTGCGCCTCCTTCTCGCGTTGAAACACACCGGGGCGGGATAGCCGGAAACGGCGATCTCGCGATGCGTCATCGACGAAACGCAAGTAATTAAAGATACCCCAGGAGAAGACGCGCGCTCGCGCATTGCCCGCGGTATACTCTCTTACGACTAATGGGCGAAGTTATTAATTATGATTCATTCGCGGGATTCGCGGTCGTCGGATTAATGCGATGGCGTGGGCTATACCGCGGCGAGTGCTCTCTCGTGAGAGTTCCCCGGCAATGCATCCGAGAGATGCTCTGCTCGGTCTCTCTCCTTCTTTCTCACTCTCCGCCTCTCTCATTTCCATAGCACACATCTCGTTTCTCTTATTAATTTCGTCCCGCGGCTCCTACACCGGCTTACGATCCTCCACCGCTCGTACCCTGCTCTCCCTTTCGCGGCCTCTCTCTCTCTCTCTCTCTCTCTCTCTCTCTCTCACGATCCTCTCGCTCCTTTATCCCCGAACATCGCCTCGTACCCCGCCCCTGTCGATCCACTGTCTTCCGACTTTCTTTCCTCTCGATTCGTAACTCGGTG